CTTCCAAACCACATTACGAGGCTTGCTGGTGTTCCATGCCACTTGATATATGTTGAAGATATCATGTACTCTAGTTAGGTGTAGTCTGATGTGTTGCAGGCGGCCTGGAATCACATCTGCAAATGAGAGTTGATCAGGTCGAAGGAGCGTGGTCCGAACCATGCATAAAATGGAAGCCCGTCCTGCGGAACTATGGATCATGTACCAACCAGGCGGAATCCATCTTCGATTTAGATTCCAGCCAATCTCTTGTACCAGAACAAGCGTATACGGCTGGGAGGAACACGAGAGCCATTCATCCAGCTGCAGGCTCTGAGATGCATTCCAACTGAAAAATTGTAAAGCCTCAGGTGTCGAATGCATAGACGGCCCAACAAAGGGCTTGACTGCAGGTCGATCTCGAAGTTCAGGCATGATCTGTTGCTTCAACCGGAAGGGGACCATCGAGGGCCAGAGTTCTTTGCCTTTGTATTAGGCACAACCGTGGAGCAGTGATTTTTTGCTACGAAAACTTCTCTTGATGCATTTGCATCTTGATGGGTTTAGAATATGGCCGGAGCCAACATACGCCCATACCTTGTTGATTTTCGTGCCAACCTAATTCTGCTTGGAGGTAACAACTTTGGTACTCTAATCACAAGACGAGGAGCCTGTAACAACCCTCACGCCTGATATGGAGAGGATGCACAGCTGGAATTTCAAAGACTCCCAATCATCAAGGCTCTGGCCCCAAACGGATTCCCTGCCCTGATTTGGAAGCAGTTCGCACCACAACTCACCCCAATCATACATACATGCATTCGTCAAGCTGGACCTCTGACCCATGCATCCCACCCACTAGATGGTCGATAGGCTGTAGGTGCAAATCTAATTAGGCTCCCAACAAACCTGAAGCACTTAGACCAATCTGTCTTCAGCATCCAATAAACAAGATCATGTCCGGCATCCATGCCGCCTCATGTAATCTCACATCACTGCCGTGCAGTGAAAGAGATGTGGAAAAGGCCTCTGACATAATCAGCAGATCCATGATCTTGCGACCACTTCAGGTTTTCGACGTGTCTGCACCTGCAGCACCTTGTGCATTCGTGCTTGGCCCCTCATAGGTATTGCATCTCCCATAAGGAATTGGTTGGAATGTTCCAAGCTTCAGGCGGCATTAAACAGGGAGATGGGGATCATCACCTCACCGAGTGAGGGCCTTGCTGCATTGCACGACCTGTCATTCTTGCATTAAGGTGTTCCGTGCATATGGAAGAGCGTTGCTCTCACTCGCATGGTTGGTCGAGCGCTGAATCCGTTTCTCCGCCGATGGACCTGCCAGATACAAGCATGACGATCCCTTTCGTGAGCAAAACCTCATACCTCGGCACCATTGTGAGTTATAGAGTCTGCCCACTGTGCTGTATGGAGCAGTTTGTACTGCAAATATTCCATGCTCAATCAAGTTGGACTGCGAGGTTGCCAGTTCTGAGCTTCTAGCTGCACTTGCGATGTGTGACGGGGTAAAACAATGTGGTGGGCATTGATTTTTCTGTGCATTGGCGACTTTCTAGTGCAACTCTGGTACACGGAGCAATCTGTAGTGGAAGCTGGAACTGAAAACTGGCGACTTTCTAGTGCAACTCTAGCACCCGGATCAATCTGCAGAGCATGAAGCTGAGAACTGGCGACTTTCTAGTGCAACTTTAGTGCTGATTTTTTTCCTTTTTGAAGTGCATATGTGCAGCACTTTGTGAACCTTCATGTGCAGAGCTAGCGGACGCACGGCAGCTTTCACAAGTCTAGCTCTGCAGAAACAATAAACACGAGGCGGTCTTGGGTCAAGGTCGGATCACGTTGGAATCTTGTGGTTGATTTTTTCACGTGTCTCTTCAAGTGGAGATTTCGTGGCAGGCGCAGCACTTTGTGAAAATCCAGGTGCAGATTTCGTGGCAGGTTCAGCACTTTGTGAACACTAATGTGCAGATTTAGTGGCAGCTGCAGCATCCATGTGTATGGTACGTGCCCCAAGGATCAAAAGCTCACAACAGCGTTTTTGTTCCACAACGTGCTGTTTTGTTCCTGCCATGAAATCTGCACTTCAAGAAACAAGTGAAAACTGTAACCACAATAGAGGGACGATTCGAACAAGAACCGACCATGTCCGAGACTGTCTCGCAACCGTCCTGCCGCAGAGCTAGACTTGCCAGTCGGAAGCAACTGGTTCTGTTGCCCCTGTTCAGCTTGCAGCTCGACAGATTGCTCCGCATACTGGATTTGCATTGGAAAGACGGCAGTTCTGAGCTTCCAGCTTCACCAATTCCTTCGCCCACTGAAGTTGCACTGGGGGTCACAAAAGTGTTGTGCCTGCCAGGAAATCTGCACAAGGAGGTGCCCAAAGTGCTGCACCTGCTACGAGCAGGAGTGGCCCAGACATTGAGCTGTTGAAATTAGAGTGGGTGTATGAGCGGTGTCTGGTGATTGGTATATGATGAGCAGTGTGTGTTTGATGAGTGGTGCATGATGAGTTGTTCATGATGAGCCGTGTGTGATAAGTGGTGTATGATGAGTGGTGTATTTTTGGGTTCGCTATCTCCACAATGCATTTTGTCTTGCACCTGCCAGGACATCTGCACATGGAGGTTCACAAAGCACTGAATCTGCCACGAAAAATGCACATGGAGAATCAGAAAGTGCTGCACCTGCCACAACATCTGCACACGGAGGTTCACAAGGTGCTATACCTGCCACGAAATCTGCACATGGAGTTTCACAAAGTGCTGCACCTGCCACCAAATCTGCACATTGAGGTGCACAAAAGCGTTGATGCAAGTTCACAAAAGTGCTATGCCAAATGAAGGGACGATTCCGGAGCATAACCCAAAAATGATCCGAGAATGATCCGAGACCGTCTCGCAACCATCGTTCCGCAGACCTTGACTTTCCAGCTTCCGAGCCAGCTTGTTTCCATTAAAATTCAGTATTCGTGCCTTGGCTATGTCCCCGCAACACATTTGTCTTGCGTCTGCCAGGACATCTGCACATGGAGATTCACAAAGTGCTGAATCTGCCACGAAATATGTACATGGAGAATCAGAAAGTGCTGCACCTACCACGACAGCACATGGAGGTTCACAAAGTGCTACACCTCACGAAATCTGCACATGGAAAATCACAAAGTGCTGCACCTGCCACCAAATCTGCAATGGAGGTTCACAAAAGTGTTGTGTCTGCCACGAAATCTGCACATACAGATTGACAAAGTGCTGTGCCTATCACGAAATCTGCACATGGAGGTTCCCAAAGTGCTGCACCTGCCACGAAATCTGCACCTGGAGCTAAAGTGGCCGAGAGGTTGAGCTGTTAAGATCAGAGTTGGTGTATGAGCGGTGTCTGATACGTAGTTTATGATGAGTAGTGTGTGTATGATGAGTGGTGGATGATGAGTGGCGTATGATGAGTGGTGTATAATAAGTAGTGTATGATGAGTGGTGTATAATGAATATTATATGATAAATGGTGTATAATAAGTGGTATATGATAAATAGAAAATAATGAATGATGGATTCGTTATTTTTCCATAACACATTTTAACCTCCGCCTGCCAGGAAATCTATACATGGAGGTTCCACAAAATGCAGAAAGGCATTAATACGAGTTCAGAAAATATTATACCTTATACGAAATCTATTCTTCAAGAAACAAATTAAAACTTTAATCCCAATACGAAGTCGTCTCGGAACCTTCGTTCCGCAAACCTTAACTTATCAGCTTCGGAACCACCGGTTCCATTAAAAAAAATATAGCATTTCGTATCTTCGCTATCTCTCCACAACGTCATAGCGATATATAAAATGCTATACCTAAAACGAAATTTACGCATACATGCTATACCTACCACGAAATCCCCATATAAAGATTCGCAAAATACTATACCTACCACGAAATCTACTTATAAAGGTTCCCAAAAGGCTATTTCTACTACGAAATCTATACCTAGAGTTAAAATAGCCTAGAAGTTAAATTATTAAAGCCAAAATAAATATATAAACGATATTTAATAATTAATGTATAATAAATAATTTATAATAAATATAATAAACAATATAAATATTCGTATCATAAAAATTCTTTCTAAATTTCCTTTAATAATAAATAAATCACTTAATTAATAAAATTAATAAATAATATATAATAAAATAATAACTTAAAAAATAAGATATAATAACTATTTATTTAATACGTAATTCCAATTAAAAATTAATTAAATAATCATTAAATATCCATAATACGTTATCAATATTCTATAAATTTTTATATTAATTAAATAATTATAGATCATAAATACATATTTAATTTTACAATATATTTAATATATTATTCGGATGATTCAAAATTATTCCTATATATTATAAAATCTATGCGAAATTTGACCGCCGACGTGTGCGATCTGCAATTTCATAAATCATTCTGATTCTTGAATCTTCTAGATTCTTGGGCAACTTTTACACGAAACGCGGGCGACACAAAGCCTCGGTGCTTCACAATGCTCTAAAATCTGACCGGCAACGCGTGGTAGTGGGTGGACGATGTATCAAAAAGTTGCGTTATCCGATGGTCACTGTGTTCTTCAATGAATGGTCATGGCCCCTAAAAGTCACAATCTCCTCTTGGGCCTCCTGCGCATGCATAGGAAACGCTGGCGTTTCGTGGCGGCGGCATGCCCGGCAGGGCGCTGGCCAAACGTGATTCCATTGATGCGATCCAAGGGCCACCGCAGGTGCTCATGCACAAAGGCTGTCAAGACTGTCTTCGATCAAATCGTTCCACTTGGCACATAAAAAACCTCATTGGACCCTCAAGCCTGGACTGCGCATACTTCACAAAGTCCACCCCCAAAGTGGAGCCACGGCAAGCCGCTAAAGTCTCAGTGTTGGGCGAGGTGGCTGGTTCATGCTCTCTTCTCTCATCTTGACTCTTCAGAATCTCTCGACAAGTGAAACATATCAGGGTGGTGGTCAACCACCTGTAGAACCTCTCAAAAACATTGGGCCCTCCCCAGTGAGACGCCGCCCCGCCTCCAAAAGCACCAGGATGGGGTGACGGCCTCATCTTTCTTGAAGGAAATCTAGCTGTCAGGTTTGAGTCTAAAGTTCAAACGTGATTTGAGGATGTTTCGGGCTGATTCGCTGACGTAATTAATGACTTGATCAAATTTTCAACACAGCGGATCTGAAATGAGCTCAGTGCCGCAAATAGTATTCCCTTCTCGCTTTAAATACCTGGGCAAATGCAAAGAGCTCAAGAAAGAGATTGAGTTGTTTCAGAGCAAGGACGCTACTAGGAGCAATTGGCATTGTTTTCATGTTGCCGCCCAGTTCAATCCTTTTCTCATCTGTTTTTGCCTGCCAGTTTCGGTGACTCCTTTGTCGGAGGAAGCGGGCGCACGTGCGGAAACCCTCGGCGTTTTGCTCTTCGATCAAGGCCATCCCCTCCCGGTCCAAGCCCTCGCATGGCAATAAACGTTGTGCAGCTTGTCATGCTCTCAACTTGGCCTTGCAAAAAATAGAAACGCTTGAACTTCAAATATGCTGGCAAATCAACACTCCACGTTTCACAAGAAAAGCTTCAAAGTGTCCAAAGGAGAATTGAGCTAGTACATCCTGCAACAATCGAGCCTTTAGCTTGGAGTTGGCTAAACAAGTGAGCCATATTTCTTGCAACCCAAAAAATCACCATCACCTCGATCTTTGCGTTGTCAGGGTGTGGGCCATCCCGGTAAGTTCGAGCCAAAGAAGGAGAGCCTCAAGATGGAGTTGGAAAGCTGTAGCACATGATGCACTTTGCAAAATGCACCGCTCTAGCAAATGAAGGCTTGACAAGTCGAGGAATCACTTGTCGGGTGGCAGTAAAATGTGACCACAAACTACGGTTAAACTTGCACCGTTTTGCAAGATCCCAACCGCAGCGAGGGAAACAAAACACACTTGAGAGGGGGGTAACGAAAAGTCAGCAGAAAGCCGCATACCAATTACTCATCGAAAAGACTTCAAAACAGGTGTCCGGAAAAGGCTGCTTCTGGACGAGTTCAAGAAGCTTTCCAAACGCCTTCTTCAACACGTTGATGTAAACGAAACAAAAAGTGCATGCAGGTCCGCTTTCATGCGGCAAGCGAGACTGCGTTGCCAAGCAAACAAATTCAGCACCCTTTATTACTATTCTTCACCAGCATCTCTGTGCTTCCGAACAAAGCATCTTGTTTCTTCCGTGAGCAGTTCCCTTGCTGATGAAATTGATGCCGCTGCAATTACGACTCACCCTAAATGGCCTTGACCTCCACCCCAAAACATTATCAATTTCTTCATTTTCAAAATTTACACTCTGCCCCCACACTTCCCAATAAATTCACTTCGTTCGCAGAAACTAACTTCAGCTTGGCGTACCGGCTGGCTTTTGTAGGAAAAAGTGATGACAATAATAACAAGCTTCTAGTAGTAGTAAGGCACCTTGTTACTAGTGGCTTCTAGCTACTAGCTGAACATGCAAACACACCATGTCCAAAGAGCCAAGTGCTAACCGCAGCCTCGCACCCTTCATTTCAGGGTGTTCTTGTGGCAAGACAAAGGAAGGCAACCAACAAATGCACTGGTTAAACATGTATAGTTTTGGAGAAAATGGAGGTGAGCAAAAACCGCCTCAGCCCTTCCCTCCACCATTCCGAATCTAGCCAATCTCAGCTCGTCACCCACTCGCGTGTAGCCGAACTGCGCGCCCCAATGGCAAAAGTCGCTGGAAATAACCTCAAAAGCCGCGAAAGCTTGTTGTCAACCTTGGCTGCCTTCGCAAAGGTCTTTGAATAATGGTTCAATGCCGAACTCCCAGGATCCAATACTATCCAATACCTAACATTAACCTTGGGTCTTGAGCACTTGGCAGTCTTTCGCCATGTAACCGAGACAGAGTTACCGTATCAGCTAGCAGCTACCCTGTATCCAACAAACATCCAAGTGGACCAGAATTGCCCTTTGGAAGATTATGTTCCTCTCTACAAAGAGTGGGCTGTCCACTTCAATATGAATCTTGTCTGCATATGAATCTTGCCAAATTGGCCAACATCGGTGGAGAATAGTAACAAGGACGCTACTAGGTGGAGGCCATCGCTACTAGCAACAAGAAGCTACTAGTAACAAGGTAGAGATGCTGACTGAGATTCCGAGCAAAGATCGTCCCTTCCTCCTGCAGCAGGGGTGCAAGGCGTTGACCATACAGCGCCTCAGCCTTGGCATCAACCTGGCTTCACACGAAGTCGCTTTTCTGCCACCCTCCCCCTAATAGCGATCGCCTCCAACCTACTACTAGCTTCTTGCTACTAGTAGCAATGGCCTCTCCAATAGCTAGCTTCGTGCTACTAATAAATAGCAATGGCCTCCACCCTAATAGCAATGGCCTCCACCCTAATAGCGATGGCCTCCCCCTAATAGTGATGGCCTCCTGTCTGTCATGATTGGAAAGAATCTGCCAAAGAAGGACAAAAATGCCAACTGGCCTGTCCCACAAGCATTGGCACCAGCTTGGCAGGGGGCCTCTTTGGGCCTTGCCTTCGAGCACTTGGAAAATCGTGCAACCCCGACAAAGCTGTGCTGTCTCTTCCCCTTCACTGTGGCGCCACACAGCAACAGTGCAAGGAAGGGGAGCCTCGCTGCCAAGCACACATACTTGACGATAGTTTCCTTTCTGCCGTCACAATCCTTCTGTCTTCTCTCAATTCATTCAAGCAGCTGCATCTCCACGGAATGCTCGGCCTTACCGGAGAGAAAGGAACATCCTAGTCGCAAAAAAAACTCAAGAACCCAGCAAACCTGCGTCTGTAAGGGTTCGTTTGATTGTTTCTGTATTGGCCGAACTAACGCTGTAAGGGTTTTCTTTCGCAGGCTTCGTTCGATGGAGTGATGCAACTGGAGGTCGACCAAAAGACCTGAAGCCTTGCCGGGCCTTGCCCCGCCCCGCCTCATCGACTTCCATGGGCAAAACACTGAAGTCCTTGGTCTTTCGAAGCTCGGCCTTGGTCAACTCGGTCAAAGACCTGTTTTGATATGAGATATGAGAGATGCATAGATGATATGCATAGAAAAAAGACAAACACCAGTACTATAATGGTACAATATACGCCTGATTTCCAGAGCCAGGAGTTTCCTTGCTTGGCCGGCTCCTCGAAATGATCCACTGAGGGCATGGCCAAAGTATCAGTGTCCAAAGGAAGATCGCCCAGGGGGGTCCTAGCAGTAGTTAGTCTAGACCTCAATGGGATCTGTTATTCTCTGCAAGCAAAAGCCAAGGACTCCCTCGTCGTCGTATTTCAAATCATTCCCTTTCCACCTGTACGCTTGCACTTCTTCTGCTGGAAGAGCGCAGCCCTCCAGATATGCATGGTGCGAAGGCCTGCGGTGTGAGGGTTGCAGTTCAAGTTGGATTCCATCTCTCGGCCGACAACCATAAAGAGGAAAGAGAGAAACAATGTTCGCTACTAGGAACAAGTGCCTTACTAGTAGTAACAAGTTACCAATTTAATTAGAATTCTAATTAATAGCAAAAATTGTTACTACTAGTAAGGCACTTGTTACTACTAGCGAGGCACTTGTAAATACTAGCAGTGGAATCTACTAGGACCTTTTCGCGCGCGCGCGCGCGGGGGGGGGGTAGGAAGCTACTAGGAACAAGTGCATCGCTACTAGTAACAAGTGCCTTACTACTAGTAACAAGAAGCTAGTAGTAACAAAGAGTCTCCCTTAGCTGCTTCCTTCTCGGGTGGGCAACCTACTAGCGATGGCCTCCAACCCACGAGCCATGGCCTCCAACCTTCATTCAAGCGATGGCCTCCAACCTATTTGCCACTAGTAGTCGCTTCTTGTTACTAGTAGTAATGCACTTGTTACTAATAGCGATGCACTTGTTACTAGTAGTGATGCACTTGCTGCTACAAATTGCTCGTGCTGCTCCTGCATCCTGTTGTTTCCCGCTTCCCCTTGGCCGGGCCCGATGAGGACCACCCGCTGCACTGCGCTAGCGTCTATACGCGCGAATACACCAGCGGCCACCTGATGGAGCGGGTGAAAGGATTTGAAAGGCCAAAGCTGACCATATTGGAAGTAATCAGTGGAACTCAATGTAGTACAAATAATTAGCGAGCAGGGGTGTCACAATAGGTGGCAAAGGTATTTGAAAGACAAAGAACATCAAGACGTTGAATATCCTTATGAAGCTAGAGTACCTTGGTTGAACAGTAGCGCATTAGATTATTTTATTGAATGATCTGGGTGCTCACAAAGCCGCAACAGTATCACAATATATCACAATATCGGCTCTTTTGGCTCTCACAAAAATCACACAGCTGCAAACAACAAACCGGAGCATAACTGAAGCTACAAACTCCCTAGGCTTGCAGAGCTAGGACCATGTTGCTAAGGCCAATCGGCACAACGCTTCCTTTTCCAGACTGGATACTTTCTGTTTCCTCACACACGAAACACCTTGGACCTGAGCTCCAAGCTGAGCCAGAGTAGCGCAGGCCTGGCGCGAGAAGCAGAGACGGGCGAAGGCCTGAGGCCATCACCGCCGTCGCCTGCATGTGGCGAGATCACTGCCTTCAAATGACGGTCGGCCGTGGCGCCCTCCGCGTACTCTGCACCTGGCACCCGGCGGTTCTCAACGGCCATGCCAGCAGCGCCCCTAGTAGCTTCTTGTTCCTAGTAGCGTCCTTGCTCCTAGTAGCGATGCCCCTTGTTCCTAGTAGCTCCTTGTTGCTAGGCCTTGAATGTTCAAGATTGCCAGAGCTGCATCGCTCCGCAACACAGAAACCAACTCCCTGGGGCCCTGGGGTACTAGAAGATCGTTGTTGGAACATGCGCTTCCAAATCCACAGTTTCTTCTAGATGTGTCCACGCGAAGCCAATCAACAAGCTCCCAAATAACTGGAAGGAAAACCACTAAACTCGAATTCAAGATCCAACTCGCTTCAAACACTGCTGCCCCGCCGAGCATCTCTTGAAGCTCATCTCGCAACAATTCTGGGTCGCCCTGGCCATCAAGGGGCAAGGGTATTGGCTCGATAGGCATGAAAACAGGTTGAATGAAGTTGAAGGCGTGAGGGAACTGACAAAAGCGAGGAGGAACCACACAACTTCCACCGGAACTTCAATTTTCACTTTTTAGTTTAATTGAATTCAATGAAATCAATTGAATGCGTTTTGAAAAGGCCTCGTACCAGGAGCCAGCATGGATCGGCCGCCTCACACCACGAAGCCCTGGTCGGCCTTAGGAGACTGGTCAAGACTTTACAGTGCAGTGCTTTGCAGTTCTGGCCATGAATCCTCTGTTGCAAAAAGAAGCAAAAGAGAACTAGGAACATTGCTCTTAGGGTTGGAGGCCATCACTTCTAGGTTGGAGGCAATCGTCATTCCAAAAAGAACTCTTAACATTCCAATTCCAGACCTATCTCATGCCTAAGCCACAGCTGCTCTGGTCTTGACGACATGAGTAGCTCCTACCAGATGCCGGGCTTCGGGCTCGAACCCATCCTGCCTTGGCGGAAGGCCGCCAGGACAAGGCGAATCAACATTACAAAACATTGGAATATGGTGAGAATGGTGAATGATGAATATGTAAATGCCAACTAATGTGCTTTTGCATCTCCTTGAAAAACTTGTTTCAGGTGTTGAGTTCAGTTGAGCTCCTGCTTTCTCCCTCTGACTTCAGGGGTAGGGATCAGAACTCTGACAGAGACAACTCAAGGTCAATTTGCCTATACCCAGTCAAGTCCGCATTGTGAAGTTTGGCGCCGAAGCGCACGCAGATCAATCCTAGACAGTACAGCGCAGCTACTCGGCTTTTGCTTGCCGTCCTTATCCTTTCTTCGCTCTACGTCGTGAGGTGTTGCGGACTCCAAGTGCTGGACCTAGCCTGCTGCCAGAACCGAGAAACTCCGAACAAAAAATAACGCAACACAAAAGAACAGCAGAAAACGCTTTAAAGCCCTACAATAGCGATGGCCTCCAACCTAACAAGCGATGGCCTCCAACCTACTAGCGATGGCCTTCAAAAAGCAATCGCAGAAAAAGCTTTGGAGCCCTATAATCAAACCACAACATAACACAGCTACTTCTGCCAAAATTATCGCATCGACGTGCTCCTCCTGCACAAGAATGCTTAGAGCCCTACACTGCCAAGGCTGCAAAGAAAGCAGTTGCAGGTTGAAAGATAGGATCACAACGGCAACCTAACATTCTGCGCTGACATGATGCCCGGATCACTGGCTTTCCAAATGCTTGACATGTATTGATATGTGTGATAGTGCTTTGCTTGCGTGGCACCGGAAATTCTTCTGGCTGAGCCTCTTGACCACCCCTTGACCCAAGCTGCGACATTTGGCAGTCCGAGGTGAAGCAGCAACTTAAACCAAAGCACCAAAAGAAAGAGGAAAACAATCGTAGCGTCGAGGGACATTAAAGCAATCACAGAATTGACAAGAATTTTCATTTCTCCTGAGTATTCCCGAGCAAACCATCTCCATATCTTCGCACTTGGTCTCACACCAGTGCCGGTGAAACAAATGAACTGAGCAGCTTGCTCCCTCTGCGCGACATTGTACAGCTAGACATAAGACACTGATTACAAGTATACACTTGACATCGCTAGTAGTTTGGAGGCCTCTTGAAAGGCTTCAGCTGTCCTCCATGGACTGTGGCTTCAATTGAGTGTCCAAGGTATTCCGTCACAGCTCAGATGCAAAGCCCACCGCATCACCGCATCACCGCACCAATGGTGCATGGGCGCTGGGATACTGGGGCAAAGAGCCATAGCTGGCATGCCATTGCCTAGGTCCAAGAATCCGTTGGGAAGCTACTAGGAACGAAGGGCTACTAGGACGCTAGTCTGAGCTTCCGAGCCCTCCCCAAGGCTTCTCACCTGAGCTCTATTTCGGATCAAAGTACGGAGCAGCAAAGGCAAAAAATCGAACGCCCTGTGCACTAGAGTCAACTCATCTTGTTGAGTTCCAGCAGAATTTTGCCTTCCTTCCATTGATGGCAGCTTTGGGATCACGGTTGGCTTCCGATTTGCACCGAAAGGTTGCGCACCAACTTACCGTACATCTTTCTGGCATAAGTACGATAGCTATTGACGTTTCATTCACCTTTGGTTCCACTCCAGTCTCCATGCCGAATCCCTCGTTTCCCCATCTGTGCTAGTCGGGAGTGGAAGACATGTGTCCTGAAGCTGCTTTTTCAAATCATGCTAGCTAGTAGCAATGGCCTCCAACCTAATAGCGATGGCCTCCAACCTAGTAGCGATGGCCTCCAACCTAGTAGCGATTGCCTCTAACCTAATAGCGATGGCCTCCAACCTAATAGCGATGGCCTTTCAACCTAATAGCGATGGCCTCCATCCTAATAGCGATGGCCTCCATCCTAATAGCGATGGCCTCCAACCTAATAGCGATGGCCTCCACCTAGTAGCGATGGCCTCCAACCTAATAGCGATGGCCTCCACCTAGTAGCGATGGCCTCCAACCTAGTAGCGATGG